GTGATCCATCTCTAGCTAAATATGTTTAACGTGAATTCTTGCTAAATATGCAGTTATATGACGGGCAGTTGGCATGAATTGCACTCGTGATGGAACGGTAGTGGAGCGCTCTTGGAGCAAGTGAAAACCACGACGCTCCGACTTTTAAAAAAATCTGCTTCTTGCTCCAGTCAAAATCACACAGCTCCACTCCACGCTCTGCTCCCACTCCGCTCCGCTCGCATACTCTGATTGTGAGTAACGTCTCGGTTACGTATGGTAACCCGTGTTCCCTGAAGGAGGGAATGGAGACGTCACGTCGGATGACCGACGAATTGGGATCTCGCTTAGAGAGACCAATCTACTTTGAGTGTAAACTAAGCGAGCCAATGCACATTGGCATGCGATTATTGCATCCAGCTGCCGCTGATCACAGCGTGAGTATAAGTAGGCAGCAGATGCAGCGCATATTCAGGTTTTCGCTGAGGAGCCGAGCCGGTGACCCGGCCGCTCAGCGGTGGTACAGGAGCTGTGACGACTGGACGTGACGTCTCCGTTCCCTCCTTCAGGGAACGAGGGTTACCATACGTAACAGAGACGTTCCCTTTCAGTCGGTCACTCTCGACGTCACGTCGGATGTCCGACGAATTGGGATCCTACCAAAAGGCCACAGCTACTGCCCCTTCCAGTGTCCTGTGGAAGCCACCTGCGTCCTACTTTTTGGCGTAGGCCAGGGCTTGCACAAGAGGACCAGCTACTGCTGCTATGGCACTACCCAATGAGTAAGACTGGATAACACTGGGAAAACAGTGTTGTCACTGACACGGGAAACCACCACCTCTGAAGCGCTGTACCGCCAACACGAAGAGCTCTCCAAGAGCGCGCTGAACTCGTTCAGTCTTCTTCTCTCAGTAGAGTAGTCAGGAGCAGAACGAAGTGATCGCTCAACTCCGAAGCAAAAAGCTGAATATGTGCTGCATCTGCTGCCTACTTATATTCACGCTGTGATCAGCGGCAGCTGGATGCAATAATCGCATGCCAATGTGCATTGGCTCATTTAGTTTTCACTCGAAGTAGATTGGTCTCTCTAAGCGAGATCCCAATTCGTCGGTCATCCGACGTGACGTTGAGAGTGACCGACTGAAAGGGAACTGTTACTGTCATGACAGATCTATTTCAGAACCAGGTGCTATCAAAATAATCTGGCTGGGGGCGCGGGCCAAGCCACCTGTTGCCGACCACTGGTATATGGCATGTAGTGGAGCTTTTATTTGCTACTGCTGACGTGCTTGACTATTATTTTTAATACACTTAAAAACTGTTTATTTATGTTTTTTAGCATTTTATATATATATATATATATATATATATATATATATATATATATATATAATATATTAAAAAACATAAATAAACAGTTTTTAAGTGTATTAAAAATAATAGTCAAGCACGTCAGCAGTAGCAAATAAAAGCTATATATATATATATATATAATCCATGACTTAATTACAGTTCAGTTTTAAAACTTGAAGGCACAATATGTAATTTACGCCGCTAGAGGGCGCGTATTCAAAATAAACAAAGAGGCAAAGGCGTAGTTTGATGACGGCGTGACTGAGTGTGGAGTCGTGGGAGTTGTCGTCTTCATACCCACAGCCAATGCAATCCGACGGGACTTGGGCAGAAATCATGTTTATGGATCAGCTAATGATTTATTAACGTAGTAGAATGAAGCAGGGTGAGGCTGAAAGCCGTCGAAGCGAAACGAGGCCGCTGAACGAGCGTGACACACGGCTAGAAAGCAGCAGGGCTTTTGTTATGCCACAGTCGACCACTTCCGCTCCTTCCGGTCGTGGGAAAAAAAGCAGCGCTGTTTTATTATACTAGATACATTTGAAAGTTCTGTTATTATGCTACTCTGTGCGGTCATCACCGGTCTAATTAAATGCACAACATATTAAAGCATCTTTGGTGTTTCCATGTTTTCTACAGAAATCGAGGGGTTATGACGTCATTGGCAGGCGACACAATGACACTATGGACACGGTCCGTGTCACTAGTTAAAATTGAAACATTCTTTGAAACATTTGGGATAATGTAAGTACACAAGTACAAAATATATAACACTGTTCTAGTGGTTTTTGGATATTTTAATGAAAAAATCTTACATATTGTGCCTTCAATTCATTAGTTTGGTAAATGGAAAAACAGCTACTTTTGCTTTTGCATGAACTTAACTAATTTTATGCAGCGCTCTAATTTAAACTATTTTTTTGCCCTTTTTTATGTCACCTTCTTTTACACCAAAAATCTTTGATAAAGGCGCATGTCATGTTGGTTGCAGAGGTAGCATGCAACTAAACACTGCTCATTTCAAGTCATTCCATGTTTATATAGATTTGGACTTACCCAAAAGAGGTGTAGGCCGAGTGGGCGAGTTGTTTGCTCTGTAATTAGCCCATCTGTTTCCACCAGTTCGATCCATTCAGGCCAATTTGTGGACCTGATGTGAATATGTTAGGCTGACAGACTGAGAAATCATTCATTCACAGCCAAAGAGCCACTTTTCATCAGAAATACTGTGTTCCACCTCATTGAGAACACAATGAGATCAAAGGAGCCTTCTGAGACTTCATCTGTGTCACTTTTTACTGCTGTACTCGCAATGTGATTGCATGTTTTGTAATAACTCTTATCAATTATTGTTAGATAAACTTTTACATCATTATGAACTTTCCAGTGCAGAATAAACAAAAAACAGTTAACATCTGCACCAGGCTTATTGATGAGGATACAAGTTTACAACAAGGACTTCCCACAGGAATCTTCCATATTCCATTTGCCGTTCATGAATAATACATGGAGCCCATAGACACTCATTAATCTTACAGTAGTTATTCTCCAATCCCTGCAAAATCATCAGCAGCACGTAAACACAGTCATGCAGAAGCTACTCAGAAATCCAGCCAGGAGTATGAGTTGTGGGCCTCAGTCGTAATTTAGAGTGTTATCTTGTCAGAAAAGTGACTCTCCTCAATTAATTACGATAGCAGAATGGGACAAAAGCAGTCACTGGGAAGTCGCATCCAAGCGTGGGTGACGAAAACCTGCCTTTTTCTGCATCCCTTGTTGATCACGGATCCTGGCGGCTTTCCAGATCCCCACAAATCCTGGTGATCATTGAGTTGCCACTGCAGCCCTGCCTTAATTTGTCAGCAGATGCTTGTTTTTTCTCTGTTTTGCTCTGTAGTGAGATGCATTTCCCTCAGCGTGTCTTCCAATAGCCCACCTTCCTCATCCTCCTCTGTTGACTGCTCAGGCATATAGACTCCTGGACAGGTGCAGGAAGCAGACAAGCCAGATGGCCCAGAAAACTTAAGGAACTTTGTTTTCTCTCTCTCTCTCTCTCTCTCTCTCTCTCTCTCTCTCTCTCTCTCGCTCTCGCTCTCGCTCTCTCTCATTCCCTCTCTATCCCTCTCTATCCCTCTTCTTATTTTATTTTTTTAAACGAGTTCCTTGCAAACACTGATGCTTCCAGATGCTCTCATTTGTAGATTAATGTCAGGGGGCTGCAAGGTGAATCTCAATAGACCTTCCTGTGATCGGCATCATGGAAAGCTTTGTTCACCTCTAATGCGAACGTAACCAACCCTGAGGATTCGCCAGATCTTTGGGGTCTAAGTTTTGCATGTTCTCCCAGGAATGTCAGCGGTCCATGTGGAGAAATCCGTCTAATCTGACTTTGTTCTGTGTGTTTAGGTATTTTTATCTCATTAGTAACATCAGAGTTAGCTGATTGTTTGCGATGTGCATGACCTTTTTTGGTGTAAAAACTATCACTTGGTTAATGAGGTTAGGTTGATAGGTTTTTCTCCAGTTAATGGTCCTTATGTTCAGCTTTTACACATGTGACATGAGATTACCTTTCACACATATGACATTAGATCACACTCAGTGACTTTATTTTTGTGTTTAATTTAGTTTGACCTTTTTTTATCCAGAGCAATGCAGTACACAGATCTCAATACAGTATGAGGTTAAGTGTCTCCCTCGGGGGCATAATGGTTATTTCAGGAGCTCTCCAGCTCAGGTCATTTATAATTAAAGCATTATTCGGACAGGATTATTTTTTAGAAATTATGTTGTGTTACGGTTAATAACAGAGGTCATTACATAACATATTTATTTAGACAGGATTGCGATCACAGTATATCGGCACCATGTTGATTACTGGATGCAAGAGATATTTTAGCGTATCATTATCGGTCAATATTGAATATACATCAGCCAATATTGTGCACGCTTATTTTCCCCTAATTTTACTTTTAGATTAGATTAATTTTACCTTTGCCCCCATGTTAAGCTCACATTATAGCATCATAAACATCATTTTAGCTTTAGGTTTATTATTTATTTATTTATTATTCATTTATTTTTGCGTTTTTATTTATTTTTTTAATTTGTGAATTCAGTGCATCTAGAAAACAATATGACCATGTATTTTTAGTTAAATAATTATAACTGTATATCATTTAAAAATATTTTCTTAATCAAAGTTGGAAGAGATTCGTGTGGAATAAATGAATGTATTAATTTATATGATTAGGATGCATTAAGTTGATCAAAAATTACATTAAAGACATCTATCAAAAATAAAATACAGTTTCCAAACAAATAAAAACTGTTTTCAACATTGATAATAATAATAAATGTTTCTTAAGCACCCATTCAAGCATATTGGAATGATTTCTTAAGGATCATGTGACACTGAAAACTGGAGTAATGGCTGCTAAACATTCACTTTTGCCATCACAGGAATACATTACATTTGAAAATATATTAAAATAGAAAACAATTTTAAAATAGTAAGTTCATAGTATAATATTTTTTTACTGTGTTTTCGATTGAACATTTCAGTCATTTTATTTATCTTAAATCTTAATAAACATATATCAGTGTCATTATGGTCATAACATCTCTTTTGACATATAACATCTTTGCTGTGTGTTTTGTTTGTTTAGGTTATTTTTTAAGAACCAGAGCATCTCCTGTCCAGCGCTCATTCCAGGGCTGCATGCAGCTCATTCAGGTGGACGATCAGCTGGCTGACCTAACCGCAGTGGAGCAGGGAAGGATGGGAGCCTTCGAGAACGTCAGCCTGGACATGTGTGCCATCATTGACAGGTTAGAACCGATCCTTCTTCACTTGCCCTGCCTTTCAACAAACACTGACTGAGACAGTGATTATCAGGTGCAACAGACTGAGACTGTGGCTTTATCCCCACCGGTGGCATCTGCCCTGGGGGCAGGATCTGTTGC